TATTATGGGAAAAAAAAAAAAAGACAAGAAAGGTGGAACCCACCCAGATGATGCTTGTAGTCTTAGTGGGCATTTTAGAAAAGAAAAGAAACAAACTTGAAAATAACAGTAACATCAGTGCCTATTGGCTGGCAATTTTTTTTTCCTTTAAAAAATGTTTACTTATTTTGAGAGAGAGAAAGAGAGTGAGACAGCGGGTAGGAGCAGAGAGAGATGGAGAGTGAGAATTCTATGAAGGCTCTGCGCTGCTAACCCCGGGGTTGAACTCACCAGAAACTCAGCTGACTGAGCCACCCAGATGCCCCCATCCTTTTTCCTTTTACTTTGTGCATGATCATGACTTCAACTTGCTATACTCTTCACATTTGTATTAATCACTGTAATTAATCTCCCCATAGCTGATTGTGATACATTGAAATTACAGGTCAGAGCAATTTGAATATGCAAATTCACTAATCTATTAAAGTTAATAAATCAGAGTCAAGAGGCAGTGTCATGCTATAATGAACACAGTTTCTACAGCCAAATTGTGTAGGTCCAAATCTCTGTCACTTACTAGTCATGTGATTTGGGGTCAAGTAATTTACTCTCTGCCTCAATGTCCTCATTTTTAAAATGGGAATGATATGAACAGACACTTTTCCAAAGAGGACATCCAGATGGCTAACAGACACATGAAAAGATGCTCAACATCACTCATCATCAACGACATACAAACCAAAACCCCCCAAAATTAAAATACAGCTACCCTATGACCCAGCAATTGCACTACTAGGTATTTATCCAAAGGATACAAAAAAATGCTGCTTTGAAGGGGCACGTGTACCCCAATGTTTATAGCAGTGCTATTGACAATAGCCAAATTATGGAAAGAGTCCATATATCCATTGGCTGATGAATGAATAAAGATGTGCTATGTATCTACAATGGAATATTAGTAATCAAACAGAATGAATTCTTGCCATTTGCAACAATGTGGATAGAACTAGAATGTATTTTTGCTAAGTGAAATAAGAGAAAGAAATATCATATGATTTCACTCATGTAGAATTTAAGAAACCAAACAGCTGAACATAGGGGAAGGAAAGCAAAAATAGGATAAAAACAGAGGGAGGAAACCATAAGAGACTCTTAAATACAGAGAACAAACTGAGGGCTGTTGGAGGGGTGTGGGGTGGGGGGGGGTGGCTAAATGCGTGATGGGCATTAAGGAGGGCACTTGTTGAGATGAGCACTGGATGTTATATGTAAGTGAGGAACCACTAAATTCTACTCCTGAAACCATTATTACACTATATGTTAAATAGGATTTAACTTACTTGGATTTTTCCTTTTTACAAAAAAAAAAAAAAGTTCTCTCATTTATTTTGAGAAAGAGAGGGAGTGAAAAAGGTCTCTCTTATTTTTTAAATAAAATTTTAAAAAATTAAAAAAATAAAATGGGAATGATAATAGTAAATACATCTTAGGATTGTTATGAGGACTAATTTAGTTTATACATGAAAGAAACATAGAACAATGCCAACTGCATACAGTAAAAGTGTTTGCTATTTTGAATCATTATAACCTTATTTTTTAAAGAAATCTTACTGCCTCTCTTGATCTGACATATATTTAAATAAAATTCCAGGGCCTAGAATTGTATTAGTTAGATATGAAATATAAAGCACATTCCCTATAAACTGAAATGTACTGTTGAAAGTTATTTATTACAGCAGATGTCTTATATTTTTCAGGCCTCGTCTACAGAAGGCAAATAATCATCTTGAGGAATTAAATGTCCTTGTTTCTACTTTTCTTTGTTCTTAACAGTACTGCCTGAAAGGCAAGCTTGGAAACAGAAGGGAAAAATTTTTTATAGAGACAGCATGGTACTATTTTAAGAGCTTCAAAGAACTTTAGAACAGCTGCCCACAGAAGGTGCTTGCAGGAGTTCCTGCCTTGAACACTTATACCCACAACTTAAGTACCAGTTTATTCCATACCAAAACACTTTTTACATATTATAGAGCTATGGTCTTGGTGAGCTTGTTTCCTAGTATACATTTAAAGCATGTTTCCAACAACAGAAAGTCGATGGTAATGATTCACTAGAGACATTTCACATAATAATGCGTCACAGAGACCTATGTGTACCTGTCAAAAAGATTCCTAGTGTGTTAATTCATATATTTCTTCCCAAAAGAATGATTCACCTGGACAATTATTGTAGACCTGTGACAGATCTTCTCTTTCCATCGTCCATACTGTTCTCCAAGTGAAGTTTCTCAAAACCTACCTGATCAGGTGATGTGCCACTTTAAATCCTTCAGCAGATTCCCATGGCCCTCGGTTCGGAATTATCACTTCATAGTATGGAACACAAGACTTCTTCAAATCTGCCCTTTGATTATTCTCTAAATTTTCTGCCTCAACTACTCCCTAATTTACACCCACTCTGCTCTGCTGAGATGCCAAACCATGTGCAGTTTCTCAAACAGGTCCTGCTACTTACGTATACGTAAAGGACTCAAAATGCTTCTTGGCACATTGTAAATGCAAACTAAGTGCTGCGATTATCTTTACTACCACTCCTGATCCCTGCTTTACTCTTTTTTCCCCCTAATCGTTACAAATATCTTCTTCTTCTCATTGAAGGAATACCCAGCAAGGTAGGCCATATGCTAGGCCATAAAACAAGTCTCAACGCAATTAAATGGACTGAAATTTTATGGTTATATTCTCTGACTGCCATGGAATTATATTAGAAATCAATAATAAAAAAAAAATCTCAACGTATCTGGAAAATCCCTAATGAGCACAAATCTCTAGGGCATTGTGCTGAATGAAGAAAATCTACAAAGTTGTATAGAATGTGATTCCATTTATTTGACAGTCTTGAAAAGATAAAACTCCAGTGATTGAGAACAGAGCAGAGATTATCAGTGTTAAGGGGTGGTTGGTAGCCAAGACTACAAAGGAACAGGGCAGTTTTAGGGTGAGGAATGGAACTCTTCTGTATCCTGATTGCAATGTTACTTATATGAATCTTCACATAGGTTAAAGCTCAT